TAGTATTTAAACGGTAGATGTAGGCATATTTTTTTCTCCTAAAAATTTTTCATCTGTTCGGATTTCCTAGCTGAAAGTCTAGTGATGCGAAAATTATAGGGATCAAAACTTGCCTTTTGGAAAATTTCAGCCTGAAAAAAGGCTCCCGAAATCCGTTAAGAATGGGCAATTATACCATTTTTTAGATTTTCGAAAATCCTAGGTGAGGCAGGCAAGCAAGAAATTTCACATCAAATGTTCCGAAAATTCTAGATCTCAAATTTGCCAAAAATTCTAGATTCTAAATTTGTGAGATGAGATAACCGAGCTCCTCCAATAATTATTCTGGTGACAATTGTAATATTTTAAAACTGTCTGCGGAGGATTGGAATCCGGAAGTGAAGCATTGCCTGTTGACGTCGTCAAAAGGTTGTTGGCCCAGGAAACATTAAACACATTTATTCCAGCAAAAATTGTATGGTTGGGACGTATAGGAAACCAGTGACGACAACTCGGCCTTTTTCCCTTTCACTAGATTACCGGCTATATCTTCTATTTTGATCTGGCATTTCTCACGCCAGATAAACAATAGGCAAATCTTAAGGTAAAGTTTTAGCCACGGTTTGTTGTGCGAGACAAGTAAGTTTGAACTGGGATTCAACTGAACAGTACAACAGATCAGTGGCGGATCTAGGGGAGGGGCCCTAGGGGCCCGGGCCTCCCCCTTATTTTTAGAGCCAACTGAAGCCTGAAGGGACGAAAAAATGTTTTTTTGAGACGGGCTATCCCCCTCATATCAGGGTCTGGATGACCGCCCCCCCCCTCCCCTTATCCGAATGTCTGGATCCGCCTCTGTAGATTCTAAGGTCAAGATATTTTTAGTAGATAACTTTGATGTCTTTGATAAATTATTGACTTTTATGGACTAACAAGCTAGTAGAAATTCTTCTTTGCATTATACTTCTATTTTCAATGAGCATGAAGTCCTGCCTTTTCAACAGTGATTAATCTCGTAAAAAGCCGAATGAAGTCCCAACACTCAGTTGAATACCCTGGTAATTATATTTGCCCGGACCTTATTTACGGTGGAAAATGGCTTTTACCATGGTGGTTGTAACCGTAACTACCACGTCCAACGGAAATGTGTTGGTTGAATTCAAAGCGTTTCAACATTGTACCCGTTATGTGATATCAAAAGTAAAGGTCGGACCAAAAATTCATAATCTTCCGGAAATTTTGTCGTTTTCTCTCGAAAAGTCCGAAGATTTTCGTTGGAGCGCACATTTGTTGGTGGTTTCATGGTTCAGTCCCATAAAAAAGTTTGCTAACTAACGTGAAAGAGTTCTCTCAGAGAGCCACTTTATACCTTGACTTCAATTCCATAGAAACCTTCAATACTTGGCGTAATAGCATGTTTGAGTGAGTAGACATATAGACTGTTCCTGTGTTGTACATTCTTCATACAAGTTTCATAAAGAATTTAGCCAATGGAAGTGTCAACATAATAAATGTTTTCTGGCGACTGATTGCCCGTTTTCTAAAAATCCTTCATTGCCCTTTCCGTGCAGTTAAAAAAGTATATGAGAAAAAAAAAGAGGTTTTTGGTAAGTGAGGAGATTGGAAGGGATAATTTTGATACCGTATCACTCTTCTATTTGGGTGCATTGGTCATATCGTTTTTTTTTTTACAGCAGATGAGTCCCCCTTCCTGTAGATTCCTTGTAAGTTCTTTTTTTTCCTGAATAACAATGCCAGTTATCGCCTATTGCCAATAACACTGACAAGTCCTCATTGTTCCTCGTCATAACGCCTTTTAGAGAAAAAAAAGACACATTTACGTCATCTGTAAATATGGAAGTTGTCATACCGGATAGGCAGATAGCAGCAAAAATCGAAGCATAGATACTGATCTATCATTCATCGGAAAGATATAAACGAACTGAAAGTCATTCGCAGTGTAATTTGTCTGTATGCCAACAGCTTCTTTGCCATGGAAATTACAATCTTGGTCACGTTTTTCGCTGTAATACTGACAATGTCGGAAGGTATGTGATTTATTTCTGTCAATTATTTGCTCATTAATTTGTATGCCAACCCAGTGCTTACTTACAATGAAATTCGTAGTTACTGTTTACCCTGAGCTAATAGGGTGCGCATGGCTCAAGAGGAGTAACCTGTGAATTTGCCATGTTCACGGGATTTTGATTGTCTTTTTCGTAAAAACTTCCCCATTCCCGTCAATAAACGTCGCGTCCATGACTATTTTACAGTTACCGATTTTATTGCATGACATACACTGCTGATGCCATAAATATCATCCGATAGCTGAGTCCAGACGGGCCTTCTATTATTTTATCCTGTGAATTCTCAGTTCTTGACTTATCTACATCCCAGTCTCACAGGACTCCCTCTTACAGTTTTGCTTTCGTTTCTTAAATTGACAAGCTAACGTAACGAAGACGAAATGCCTTACGTCCCATTTGAAGATAAGATTTGTCAAGGAAAGTTCGGCACCGGCACCCAAGGTAGATAAATATAAGAGCATAAATTTTTTTCTGAGTGGAATATATTTTTAGGATCAGTTCCACTTAAATTTACCCAATCTCATGCACCGTGATTAAAGTCCTTCGGGAATTTGGGATCTGTTAAGTGTTGTTGGTACATTGCCACTTGCTGAGGTTAATAGCATGTTTTTATAAGCCAAAATAGGTAACCAGTTAAAGTTTTTTCTGTCAATATAATTTGAAACTGATTTAAACTTAGAACAGAAGCAATAAGGGTATAAGATTAATAGATTTGCCACAACAACCTTAGACAATGCTCCACATAGCGTTTTCAACTCGCTCAGAGACCGTCAGACTATACGGCTACAACGTGTTGTTTTACCTCTAAAAACATTTAAAAAATGACCTTGTATTCGATAAAAGCCTCTTTTGTTGACTGGGTTAACTGCATTGAGCACTTGTCCCACTTGGTGCACACTCCGTGTGGAATCAGGAACTGGTGTCGAGCCAGCAATAGCATTTCCGCCGACAAGATGTTTCCTGTCTTTATTTTAAACAGTGGCAAGACAATTACGTCGTTAAAATAAAACAAATTGACGTGGGTCTGCTGCTGTCGTATTGATGACGAATTTTTTTTCCTGTATTTATTTTACTTACTAGAAAGACAATTTCGTCCTTAAAATAAAACAAATTGACATGGGTCCGCTGTCGTATTGATGACGAATAGTTTTTTCGAAACTGTGTCGTGGTTTTGAAGCGGATTAACTCGATTAACCTTGCAACAGGCTTTTATTATGTTCTGTGATTTCATCCTCGTTAAAATGAAAGACTTATAAGGTTTAAGATTGGAATCCAGAATCTAAGTTCCACCGACAACATTAAGTATTCACGTATCGATACGTATATCAAAAGTACAATTATTTGCAATCCTGGGCCAAGATTCGTGCTTAGGCTATAATTAAAATTGATGGAAAAAAAACTCGGTCTGTAATTTACAGCTGTACTGACCTCAAACTCGGCTAATATTAATAAGACGCGAAGCTAAAAACAAGAAACGTTGTGTGCACATGACCATGATCAAGACCACGAGTCCAGCATGAGTAGTTGCTTGTTGTCTCAAAGACAGAAAATAAGCATATGAAACACATGACGGGGAATAATATCGCGTTCTCGCCTTCCGCAAGGCAACAGTAAATCAGGGGCACCCAACGAGGATATAGTTCAAAACCACTTAACATAGCATTGTTGAGCGTATTTTAGTATTTAAACTGTAGATATAGTCATATTTTTATCCCCTAAAAACTTTTCATCTGTTCGGATTTCCTAGCTAAAAGTCTAGTGATCCGAAAATTATAGGGGTCAAAACTTACCCTTTCGAAAATTTCAGGCCATTTTTAGGGTAAATATCCGTTTAAAATGGGTAATTATACCATTTTGTAGATGTTCGAAAATCGTAGGAGAGGCAGACAAGCAAGACATTTTACAACAAAAGTTCCGAAAATTCTAGTTCTCAAATCGTCTTCCGAACAGATATTTTCCCGAAAATTGGGTGCACCTGAGTAAATGTTATAATTTTCGCGATAGCCTGTTTCCAGGGGCACCCGTCGACGGTTTCCTCTTAAGTACATTGAAAACACTTTTTTAGGCTATCCAGAGTACTTTTAGATCTCTATAGAAATGCATTCTAAGCGGCACTATAAAATTTGTATCTGTCCGGTCAAATTGTATAGAAGGACTTGAGTCTTTCCGAAATTACAAGGGCTTCAGTATTTAATTTATTTTCCCGAAAATTTAGATGCAATTTAACGTTTTACGAAAGTTAGAATTTTTCGTATTCCTCTCTCCGTGACATTTTGGAATCGAAGCCGGTTTCCTTTTTCCACGAAAATTAGCCTCACATGGGGAGTAAAATGCTTCGAAAATTGTACCTGAATGGAACGGTCATCTAGAAATTTTTAGCCGTCCTCAAGCTATATAGAAAATTCTAGGCAATATTGGCTTCCCCGAACAGATAATTCATGATGATTTACAGAAAACAGTCGTTGAGTGCCCCTGTGATTCATTCTACTATCGTCTCTCTTTCGCTCACTTAAGCAGAGTTGGTTCAATGATTATTGAAATAAATGCTTTTCGTTAGGGATTTAGAATTGTTTGTAAGACTTCTTGTGGGCACCAGTGACCTTTAGACTGTTACTATGAATTCACCTTTCAATTCCCATGCAAGTAAGCGCTTGATTTCGATGAACCTGCGGTTACATATAACAACAGATCGCGAGGCCTGAAACACAACAAAGGTGTTAAAAGTGACAATCTGAGAGACGCATACTTGGTTTGAAAAACCGTTCTCGTTCTCTGATTTAAAGGTCCCCACATTTGCTGGGTGCCACTTGGTGCCTGTGACGTGAAATTTCTTCTACAGACTACAGAGGCGATGAAATGCTAGTTCAATGGCGCTGTAGATCTGGGCTAGTAACAGTTCACGTTCAGCTAACCTTCTTTTCTTGCATTTTAGGTAAAATGTCGTTCAAGGACCAATGCATTTACTGGCACAACTACTTCCGCACTCTCCATCAGGTAAATACCTGACTGAAAAGACGGTACCTGCTAAAAACTTTAAATCATCAACGATGAGGCTTCAAGGATTTATGCACGTTTATCAGCATTGCAAATTCAAAGGATTTTTTTTTCTTGAAGAGACTATCACAACCTTCTCGTACGAAGCATATCCCAGGAGTACTTTGTTTTAAGTATGCCGTTTTTCAAACTCTTCTCAGAAAACTTTTAGGTTTCATCTTATCACGAATTTCAAGACTACTACACAATGTACTCTCTATAACTAGAGAGATCTCTGAAGAAACATGTGCCCAAAAGTGAGTTAGTCGGCTTATCGCCAAGAAAGCTTAAGTCCTTTTGAACCTTGTTTGAATGAATCGGTGAGAGAAATTCTTGATAATGCAAGCTCATATAGAAAAAAAAAATATGAATTTGCAATGCTAATAAACCTCTACCCAGAAATCCATTAGGCCTCATGGTTCGAGTTTTGTACTTTTCAAAAGACAACGTTTTTTCAATCAGGAGCATATACTTTCTCATGGCTGTACGTTCCAGGTAATGGTTGCTAACCATCTTTTCGTTGAAGAAATCGTATCTTTTGGAATGCAGGCGCTCACAGCTCACTAAGCAAACTTGCTGGCTGTAAACATGATAAACGTTACTCTACCGCTTCGATTTCTTTATGAATAAATCATTCACATCAGTATAAACGCTTTTCTCCAGGTTCCTAATGTCACGTGGTCAACAAGCCTTCAGAAAGAGGCAGAGGACTGGGTCAAATATCTGGCTGAAAACAACAAGTTTCATCATAGCCAAAAGAATCCTGGGAATTTATACCTGTCCCATCCTAACGATTACCCCGCGGAGTATTGTAGTGATGCTATACAGTGGTTTCATTGGGAGGAAAAGTATTATAATTACAGTAGACCCGGTTATAGTCAAGCAGCGGGACACTTTACAACGGTACGTCAGGAGCATTATACATACCCTTAAGAAGATATATAAAATGTAAAGAAACACAGGCTCAATTAGTTTCGCTGCCATTGTTGTTTTCATCTTGCCAGGTAGTCTGGAGAAACTCAAGAGAAATTGGGGCAGCGTGGGCCATACGTAAAGACAAGAGGCTTGTTATTTCTATTAAGTACCACCCTGGAGGCAACTATGTTGGGTACTTTAAAAATAATGTCTTCCGACCCGTCGCGACCGTACTTGGACCTGAATGGCCATATCATCCGCCCAGGTTTACAAGGTGCCCTGCAAAGTTCGTACAGCAGACAACAACCGCCGTTCCAACAACAACGCCGACCTCAGTGCCGAACACAACGCAGATCACGTTGCCGAACACAACGCAGATCACAGTACCAAATACAACACAGATCACTGTACCAACCACGTCACCAAGTATGTGTCATACGTTACAAACCACCGATGCACCATTAAGTCAAGAAATAATACAGTTAAAAGTTAACCGTGGCTCTAGTAGTGACAAAACATTTTTTTTTTCATTCTGGCGGTGTTGCTGTATGAAAGAGTGTCTCTGACTTCGAGGTCTGTTTTGACAGCTTGCATATTGAATTTGTGAAAGCTCTTTCAAGACCGGGATCAAGTTATTTAACCGTAGAAAAAGAAAGTTTTTGAAATGCATTTGTTTTTTTTTTTCGAGGGTTTTGTTTCGACTGTGTAAATAGGTCCTTGCACGAGCTAAAGTTCAGTGATGGTTTATCATGATCATCTTCATCATCATCAACATCATCCCTGCCGCCACCAAATCATAGTCATCACATCATTATGATCATTGTTCCCAGTGAACATGATTTAAGAGCGGGGGAAAGTATACTCATCGCTGGCAGAGATCCGCGGCTTGCGCATTAACTTATCAGATATTTCAAAAGGCTAGTCTGTCCTCTGCTGGGTTTGTAATTTTTGAAAGCTAAGAGCGTCCTTTTACTGGGGTGAAGTATGAGGTTTTATAAATAATGACGAATCGTTTTTATTAATGAAGCACTTTTTTGTTTCAGGTAAAGTACCATTTAAAGACCAGTGTCTTTTCTGGCACAATTATTTTCGTACTCTTCATCAGGTATAAATTTTTAATTTCTTCTTTCCACTGCCCTTTTGAACACCTGCCACAAATGATAAAGAGACGCCAACAGTATCCCTCCTTATTTACTAGCAATATGACATTTGCAGATATCGTCTTAAACCCATTCGCCCTTAAGTGACCGCCTGTATAACCCTCCCGTAAACCGCCCTTGCAGTTAAATAGTTTGCTTACTAAAGGCTGGCACATCAGTCTTCAGTTCCCTTCTTTAAAAAGTCAAACTTCACTGTAAAGAAATGGTTGATTGATTGATTGATAAAGATGGAGGCCAGGTTCATTTTATAAAAGAGTTTTTTTTTTCATCCACTTAAGGTCCCCACCGTTACTTGGTCAAAGAGGCTCCAGAAGGAGGCGGAGGATTTGTTGAAAAATTTGACAGAAAATGGTGGGATTGAAAAGAGTTGCGATTATCATGGAAAGTTATATTTGTCTCCGTATGAAACATACCCTGAGGAGTACTGCAGTACCGCTACATGGTGGTTCCATCATGAGGAACAGTATTATAACTACAGCAATCCAGGCTTTGTTAAGAAAGCGGAAACGTTTACTCAGGTAGGTCATATATGTGCGCTGCAAAACGATTATACATGATCTTGAAATTAAAGTTTGGAGTGAGGTGATGAGTCTTGTTCTTTGTCTTTTACCCAAAACGGTGTCGCTAAATCCAATAATTAAAACACAATTATCACATCTCGATTCAAAGTCCTCTTTTTCTGCATTTTATTCCAAATCTGTCATGAAGTAAGCGCTCCACGACCTCCATTCACCGCTACCAAACAAGAGAAATTTGCAAAAGCTTAGCAAAGTACCCAAAGGCTAATGATGTTCACTGTTATAAGTTTAAGACTGGAATCAATTGCGGGATTAGTGAGTGCGTCCGAATGTTTACCTTTGGAATTGCGGTTGCAGTGTGTCACTGAAGGGGAGAAGTTTGTCAATTCAGTGAAAAAGGGGACGAGTTTAATCGAAGAGATGGACTTGACAGAGCCCTGTTCAGCATGTATCAGCGCAGTAGCTGTAGCTTTTTTATTAAATATAACCCCAGTGAAATGTACACTGAATGTAAAAACGTAGTATTAATCAACAAATTGTATACTTTTATTAACTTATCGAACTGCGAAAACCTTTAAGGGACATTAGACGTCAGTCTCCGGACATAAAACATCAGAGATCGGACATCAAACATTGGACATCGGACAACGGACATTAGACATCGGACATCAGACATCGAACATCAGATATCGGACATCAGACATCAGACATCGGAGATCAGACATCGGACATAAGGCATCGGACATAAGACATCAGACATAAATGAGAAATCAGACATCGGAAATCGGACATCAGACATTAGACATCGGACATCGGATATCAAAGATCAGACATCAGACATCGGATATCAGACATCAGACATCAGACATCAGACATCGGACATCAGACATCGGACATCGGACACCGGACACCGGACACCGGATATCAGACATCGGACATCGGACATCAAACATTAGAGATCAGACATCATACATCGGACATCGGACATCGGACATCAGACATCGGACATTGGACATTAAACATCAGGGCGGATAAAACGAGCGCGTCCGAGCAAAAAGGTGTGATGCAGTGGACTGGGACTCTGCTTAGAAATGTCGCTTGTTTTCGACTTCGGTCAGGGCTTGCGATGTGGTTTTTACATTAGACACTGCCGCTGTCACTGAATTATGGCGGCTTGATTTGTTTTCGTGCCCTTCTTCCTCGTTCCTTTGTGCTGGTACGCTGTCTCCGAGAGGAAAATGTTGCTATTTTCTTGCGGGAGGTTTAGTTGGAGTAGACAAACATCTCTTTCAAATTAAAGGGTTTCTTTTATTACTTCCGTGACTCTACCACTGAATTATATTTTCGTTCTGCTACTCGCCAATGTCGATGTTATTCCAAAACAAAAACAACTAAGTACTGTCTAAAACACGAAGGAAAATCTCATCCATGTCATCCATGGCAAAAATAAAAGACCGCAGATCGTGTTTCGTACCTAGATGACGTGTATTTTATAAATGCGTGCAGCTCGTGCAAGGTGCAATTATGCTAATTTCAATCACCAGCATCCTTCTTTTTAATTTTGAAAAAAACATCTCATACGTCTTTCTGTTTCTTCGAAACTTTAAATTAGTTTCCCCTCAGTTTTTACTGTTTACCTTGTTTTGTTTTAGAGAGAAAAACGGAGAAAAAACCTTACAACTAACCTCAACAAATTTTGTTTACATGCGGTTGCCGGATTTGCAACGCATTGCGCGAATTGCCATGTCGCGTTGAACCCGAGAAGCAAAGTTTGAAGAAGTACAACGCCACTATATCAATATATATCAATCTAATTTTTTGTTAAGTTATATAAAATTTATCCCCCTTTAACATGTGTAAAAATTGAGGTTAAGAAGTGTTAAGCTTTTGCAAACGAAACGGCGAAAGACGATTAGGTGATATTTAGTGGAAGGAGGAGGTATTCAACACTTTCAAATTAAACTCAAATTTTGGCATTATAGCGGAGCTCCCGCGCGCGCAGCGGAGCACCATGGGTAAGAAAATTTGGTAAACCATCCATCCCAGAAAATTTGGTTATGACGTAGCGTACGCCCGTCCGTACACACACTTCATGTAAGCCGATGTCAAATGTCACAATAGATCTTGCACAACTTGACTAGCCTCTTAGTTATGTAAGCCATCCGTATGAGTACGATTAGATTGACAGCTGTCAAAATCAGACATCCGCTGACAATTATCACATGACCGTCTCGCGGGCTCAGATATAAGACCAGTCGTTTTGCCCCTATATATAAGCTGATATAATATGTCACACTTACCAATTCAACAT